CGGGTCGCAACAGGGCGTTTAGAAATATGGTTCTTCTTTCAACTGGTCGATACAGGGCATAAAGGGCGCACGTATTAACTTATCAGGTCTGCTCAAAGAAAACATTTTTATTCCACCGCTTAAATAATTGGGATTCTAAATAACTGTGCAGCTGATGGTTGTTTAACTGTTAAAACAATAATAAATTTGTTCTGCAACGAAACTTTACGAAGTTTGAAAATTTGAAGACTATTTGTATTTTCGATTATGGAAGTAGTTTACTTGCTTAATATTATAACTTCACTGTCGCAAGCTGTAGATTTTAACTTTGGGTAATAACGTGCCGAAACGTCCATATCAAGTTGTTTCTTTAAGTCTCCAGTATCAGTCATGTTTATATCCGACCCTGCCGCCGGAAAATGTCTCAGTTTTTAATGTAAATTTAATATTTAATGTAGGAACGCACTTTCACTTTTATCCGTATGACTCATTCTGTTAATTATTTCCCTTCTACCTAAACGTTATTACACAAGTCCTGTGTAATTACTTGTCTGCCTTTCCATCCCATCTCACTTTCATTACTGGGATGGAAGGTTGAATAAATACAACATAAAGTAACTTTAACAATTTTATAATGGGAAGTTTTACGGCACAAACCTGCATGCCCACTGGAAAGATACAACTAGCCTTCACTCAACTCTAATGGTTAGGTAAACAGAGACATATGTCTCAAACTAAAGAAAACTGTCAGAAATGTTTGCTCCAACTTTCGATATATTTTGAATTCTTCTTAAAAACATACGTTTGTATGCCTTTGACACGCGTGCGTCTTATTTATAATTCTAAATTACATTGATTTTTTTCTGTTTTATACTTCGTTTAACCTGCTGCAGAGTTTACGTAGCATCGTATGAGAAATTGAATTAAGAAGATGTCTCTCTTCTGGGTTGATAGTATGAGAAATTTAATTAAGAAGATGTCTCTCTTCTGGGTTGTTGCGTCTTGTAGACTGCTAGAAGTTTAACGACGTTTCAGAGGCCCTTCCTGCCGTCATCACCAGCGCGATCATCAGTCATGCGTGTTTATACTAGCTCTGTGGTAATGAAATATTATATTTTAAGTGTGCGCCACAAGGAAAAGGTTTAGAAGCATTGGTGGGGAACTGTGTTATGAAGTGATCGCTTCCTGCGTTGAACGTCGAGTGCCTTTGAATCAGCACAGCGTGCCGATGTACTACAGTTACCTGGTCTAGATACATGGTCAGCACAATACCGATATCGAGTGTTCAAGGCAGTCTTTGTCACTGTTACATGTGGCACACAATGATTCGGGACAAAGCAGCCGACATACAATGTGTCAGACCGTGTGAATTAAGGAACTGCTTGATTAATTAAGCGGTTCATTGTCGTAATTATTTGACGTGAAGTGGTGTCACATATCTTCAACACTCAAATGTGTCAAGCCTCGATTCAATGTGTTGCAGTTGTTTCTGTAAACGAATAAGTTCATATGAAGCTGTTTATTTCCACTTCTTGATCTTTGAGTTAGTTCAGGGACCACGGAACAATAAAAATCTGAAGAGTTTGTAAACATGTTCGTGTTCTTTTTTCTCGCCTTATACCGATCAGATTAATATATCACTGAAGTTCTAGACTTGTTTTCTAGATCTTTAATGTGGACTGTGAGGATGTGGATCACTGTAAGAAATATAATGAATAATACTAATTTTAAGCTCCTCATTTTTTCAAACACCCGCGGTGAAGTAAGAAATCAAACTAAATTATACGCGAGATTAATAGTATCTTAATCCTTACTTTTTTTGACTTAAAATGGGAAAACAAGAGATGCAGACATTCCAACCAGAATTGTTTATGAATTTCTTACCTTTATCATTTATTCTTAATTTTCTTTGTGAATACCTTCCCCTTACCAAAATAAATAAATCAGTTGCACCTCCTCCCATCCCAAAAATATTAAAAACCTGATTTATTGCGTTTGTATTAGTGTTAGAGAAGTAATTACTTTTATTGTGTTTATACTAAATATCGATGAGTAGCAACTACTCTGTCAAAAATTTCAAAATATTGTCTTTGTCTTGCGTGAATACGTACAATGTATGTAACAAAGATAATGAAGGCTTTATACATACTCAAGCTAATAAAAACTATTCTGACTCAATAAATTAAAAACACAGAATCTTGGTGTAACAATACCACAAGACTTCATTTTTGACCATAATTACAATCACTTTGATATCATAAAGGCAAACACCCTTCAGTTGCGCGTTCAGTTTATGAGAAAAAAGCAGGAACTTTATACATTTAACTCGTACGGATCGAGGACCACAAGTTGCAATACCAGTTGTGGGCCAGTGCTTAATGCATCATCAACAAACCTGCTCTTAACATGTGATTTGTTGATAACGAAATATTCAACACGACTCTGACAAAAGCTGAGTCTTCCTTCTGTAGAATGTTTCCTTCGGGCTCGTTTTAATTTTGAATGCTGATTCCTCGTGAGGAACTAAATTTTGTACAGCCTTTATACTGTTTCAAACAGGAGGCTCTTAATTTATTCACAGTACAAGAATGTTACATTTAGCAGAACGTCTTTTAGCACTGTGACGCAAAATGTAATTTTGAAGTTCAGAAACAGAATCTTCACGGCGCATCAAAATTTAATTTGTGCATCACAATGAAGACAGTTTTCTTAATATTTTGAGGGATCATTCCCCATTGATACTGGATGCCTACAAAATTGTTCTTCCTGAGCTGGTCTGTCTGATGGATCATCGAGCACTTTCGATTTTATTTATTTATTATTTGCTTATTTAACCATTTGAAGACGAAGCTCGTCTAAATATTATTTAATAAATCAGTCCGTACCGCGAAGAAAACACTACACTTCACCATTACAAATGACAACTGGTTGAAGCTGTTTAAGGAAATAATCCCTGTTTACACTAAGAACAATACGAAACCTATACATACAAAACGCAGAGTTATTAACTGTGTGAAGTAGGTGGTACATATAGTTACCACTGGGTCTTAAAGGGATAACGGTGTTTTCTGAACCGTTTATTTGGTACAGTTATATATTATGATACTATTACTGTGACGGGTGAACTGAAAATGACGTGAAAGGAAGCGTTGGAGGTATATTTTTAGATCTGTGGTAACTTTTGATCTTACCTGTTTGTTATTGCTCAAGCTACTTTTCATAAAGTACAGTAGGAACAAAGTTTCATAGACTGAAACACTATATATTTAAGAGAATTGTCTTGTTTGAAAATCGTATGTTTATTTCCATTTCAGCTTGAAGAATTTTTCGTTTACTAAAGGTAAAATTCTGTGAGTTTTCATTCTATGATATCGAGATCAGTTAATGTTTAAATAAATACATGTCTGTTTAATCGAAGGTGTTTTTAGACCTGCTTTAAATTGTGTTTGCGTGTGTGTATGTATGTTAATTTTCGGAGCTTTTGGAAACGTGTAATACAAAACTTTTAGAATAAATGCCAATTATTTATATGGATTTTCAACTGAACCCCACAAAATATTATAGACGTAGTCTGAAAACAGTAGGCAGCAGTGTGCTGTAAAAGGACATTCGGTCTGTGACTTGTATGAAAGCTTCTGTTAATATTTTAAAAATCAGTTCACTCCTCGAGTCACCCTGTCGCAGCGCCCACGATCGAGTTAATCCGAAAACTAAACGGATCGTTACCGAACCTTCGTTATGAAGTAGCTCCTTATCGACCGCCCCATAAACCGGCCCAGCTCCCGTCTGTAAATTCCAACCACAGCACGGACACGTTTTAACTTAAACTCAAAATGATTCCAGGAGTTTCGGGTCTAACTTTATCCATCAGCGGGCAACGGAGATGTTATCCGGTCACTAACTTTGAAACTACTGCAAAGTTTTTCGTGGTTTTCTTCGTTCTGTCTAGGCGAATAGCGTTATATAGCTGCAGTATATACCAATACTAATTACATCCCCGTTCTAACTTCTGAGGTCATGCACTAGCCTTGTGGCGAAGGCGCAAACGTTTCCCCGATCGTCTGCACCTTCCTGTGTGGTAGGTATCATTAATGCTTTGCAATCTGGACATGCGCAGTTAGCCCATGTGAGGATCTACAAATTTTACTAACTTCTAATTGCGAATTCCGATTTTCCACCCCAAACTAGGTCACGACCACTTCCTTTTTTCACGAGTCATCACACATATATACAGGAAGGTTATCGTTTTGAATTAAAAGTGTCGCTGGTGACACATTTATGCAAAGCCGTCGAAGAATTTTAGAATCAGCTGTGACTTTCTCAAAACACGGAATGGCGAGGTATAGACTTATAGGCGTTAGGTCTCCTGATTCGTACGTCGGTGGTTCTGGGTCGTAGACCGGCTATCCAGACCGATGGTTTTCGTGATATTACTCAGTCCTTAGGAAAAATTCTGGGACAGAATTCCATCTGTCGTGATACCCTGAGATCTTACATATGGAATTTGTTTCAAATGATAGCTTACACCGCACACCCATCTGTTTAACCATTCCTTTTGCTACCCCTCAGGACTATTCTAGGAACAGTTATATTAATATGAACTAGACATCTTGGTGCAACAGACCAGTTGGAAGTAACCGTACTGTCAAGTTAGTTATAAGATTTCTGATGTCTCTTCCTCTGATTTCGTAAGCAAGTTTAGGAACAGCTTAAATCTGAAGGAGGCTGTTACTGGTTGAGCAGGTCCATTTGTGTTTGCGTATCTCATGACACACGCCAATCTTGGGTGGTGATTGTGTCGACTTGTGAGTGTTCAGTAGCACAAGAACGCGTTTCATTTTGTTTTTTTGTTTTTTTCTACACACCTCACACAATTGCATGTAATGAGAGAAGACACTTTTATCATCTACATAATGTCATCACTGTTCTATTCACATTAACACTATGTGATGTTTGGAATCACATACACATATGTAGCGACAAATTTGTATAAACTGTTCTTTCTTTTGTTTCAATTCCAGAAATTAAAATATACACTGGACTCCCTCACGGGTCGAATGACAATCAGGTCGCCATAGTTGGAGGTGAGTCACTTCATCAATTTAAAAAGTAGTAAACGTTACGTTTTATTTATGCAGTTAATAAATTTTATAAAATGTCAACCAAAATTTCAAACGTTTTTTACAATAGCCTAGTTTTCATTCAGTCTCTGTTCACATATGTATTGTGTTGCAAAGTTTCTTGAGATGTCTCAACGGTAGCAGCGTTTGTTCTCATATTAGATACACTTTATCCACTGGAAAATTGACAATTTTAAACGTAATTACATTACTACAAATTTATTGTGAAACATATTTGGATCTTCTCAACATGCTTTGAAATACATCTAAAACGTATTTATTCCGTTTTATAAAGTTTTAAGTATTCTTTTTTTAAAAGAATATTCAATTTCATGAATATATTCAAGAATTTTCTTTGCATTGGACTTTATCCGTCGCCTGTTTTTTAAAGACTTAATAAAAATCAAAACCCTTAAAAAATCACCACGTTTCCGTCGTCTAGTAAAAACGAGGGGCACGGGGTTCAACGGAATAGGATAAATCTTCCGTCGAAACGTATTGACTTTTAAAGGTTTCAAATTTTTAGAGACTTTTAAAACAGACGATTAAGTCCAAAACAAAGAAAATAATAACATAATGGACCCCCATCGCCAGAGACATTCAGAGAAGTAATGTATTCTAGTATGGAAGAAAAATGACCTGTAGTTTCCCTTTGCAATGTAGCGAATTGTGTGTTGAAGGTTTGGCGGAAGCAGCCAGGGGATCTAATTCCCAGACGAAAGGGGGATCGTTAGACGACCACGCAGGGAGTTCCTCGCGACTGAGCTCCTCACTCACAGCACTGCTACTCTCTACAGCCCTCAGCGCAGTGCGGTTAACAACAGCCCTTTGTGCAAGGTGACCTATCAGTGGAACGACATTAAAAATTATTATTTAAAACATATTTTTTACTCGCCAGAGTTCCTCTGAAACCAGAACTGATTCTCGTCGCTTACCTAATTTCAGTGTCAAGATGGAAACGTAATAATCGTGGAGATTAAAGGAACTTGGATGTAGTTTGCATCTGTGCCGATGGCAAAGTGTCGAACGTTGATTTTCTGGGGTTTTAAGAAATTGGCGAATAATCCTGCAAAGTACCAAAAGTTTCAGTTTGATATAAAATAATGGTCATTTGCAGGTAGCTGTGTTCTGGGTTGTTTCGCCGTGTAGTCTGGTAGAAGTTTGTCGACGTTTCAGAGGTGCTTGGTGCTTACATTATGGCCCTGGTGATAGAGGCAACTAGCACCTGTGAAACGTCGGCAGATTTCTACCAAACTGCAAGACGCAACAACTCAGAAGACAGCCGTATGCATATTCGCCAACCTGAGAAACCGAAATGTCACAAAGAATAGCTACCGAACTCAGAGGCTTGAGTTTTGATTTAAACTCATAAGGTCTGTGAACATATGTGCACACTTGTACGGACAGCGGTTTGCTTACATTCCTCCTTCCTGTTTCCTCCCCCTTATGTATTTGGTTAAATCACTCAATATGGCACACATTCGAAACCAAATGATTTTATATGAGAAAAATTGCGTAATATTTTAGTCTCAACATTTTACAACAAAAGAATAAATTCAAGGTTATTTTGATTTTCAGAGAATTCTACAATAAAAGGCAGTCGAACCTTGTAAAATGATGGTTACATTTTCAGGCTGTAGTAAAATATAGTGAAACCACGTAAAACCACGTAATTTCAGAGGTGTCCTGTCCGATTCCAGTTTAGGTACTTCTTGGTCTATTTTCGCTAGACTTAAAAACAACGAGTGACTTGTGTGTGAACCACGAACCACACCCCGCCCCCCAGTAAGGATAGCCGATCTCCGGGCCGAAATTTGAAGGAATAATACAATGCCTAGGGAACACTCAATTGGAAAATGTACGAAAGGCAATGGCTTCAGCATAACTCAAGCTTCTATGCCGGCGTTTGGCGTGGACAGACTGAGGAAAACTAAGAATATGGTCAGGATAACAAATTTCTGTACCGAAATTTGAACTCAGGACCTCGATTTTGCACACCAGTCAAAATTTCTATTGAGTGTGGGTATTTTATCTAAATTAGGATTATTTGATTATTTGTTTTGTGTTTCGTTATTTGAAACGGGTCTGATTGTTGGTTCACTGTGGACAGGAATACATAAGAATTTCTGAGTGCCGAGCCAAAGGACGAGGTCATCTGGTTAAGAAGTAGAGAATTCAAGATTGTGATGTAAGTAGAAACGAAATGTTAATGGTGGTGGCACTACTGGGGAAAATGGTAGTTTTATGGTGGTGGTGGTAGCGAGATATTTTCATGGCCCCCAAAAAATTATCTTGAATGTAACTGAAATAATATTATAAATACATTATAGTGATTTACGAAATATAAGGACATGAGTTCCAGGTAAATAATTTTGTATCGCTCCAGATCAGACCAGTGTTTCTATTGATAAATGCGCGCAATTTTTAAATTTATGACAAAATTGCGTATATAAGTCTGGCGACTTTCGTGTGTCTAAATTCGTGATATGAAATCAGAATGTTTTTGCCCTGCTGTCACTTTAAACTACTTCATCAATTTTCGCAGCTGAGGAAGTCGAATTAGTTTACTTTTAAGACAACACATGTCAAAAGCGTATATAGAACCCTTGTGACTATGTTATTACATTTATTTTGAAAGGTTTAATTGAATTTTACACAGTTATAAGACCCTTCAAAAATGTTTTATTACGATCGAATCAGGGAATGTAGCCCACATTAACCGAATTAACCGAATATAATAATGATGCCATTTTAGGATCGTCATACATCATTCGAAAGACGCTGTTGTAAAATATATAGTCATCATCTCAAATATTCTGTAATTATTTTGTCAAAGTTTATAATACAATTGGTATTTATTTTTTACTGCCCTTTATAATTTTATTAAATTTCCTCACGCGCAATTTAAATACAATTTTTTTTTACAAATTTAAAATTTGTTTCTTTCAGTTTTTTAAGTGGTGAAGGCAGAGGCCATGTCCTGAAATTCTTAAAAGCCATACCTATTTTCAGTATTCATTGTGCTCTGAAAATCTCGTTTATCTATGAACCGGTCCGACGTAACAGGTCTTCGTGATTTTGACTCACAAGACTGTTGGATTCCGTCATGCTTCCAAGCCAACTTCTAATATTTTATCGTGTTCTTCTTACGTGCTTAGTAATTATCATAAAGTGTCAACCCAGACGACGACATAAATGTGTCATTCGTATATAAGACTTCGTTTTTGAGTTGATATTGAACAGTCTGAGTGCAAACGTACTGGAGCGTAATGTCGTAAACACGTTCTGTGGACGCAGGAAAGTGACGTCTTCAACAGATGGATTGTTATCAAAGCAATTTTCCCCATAATTCTTCACCGTGTCATGCAGTACGTCAGAACTGTGGATAATATTTGAAATTGTGGTTACGTTCGTATAATACTTCTAACAAAAACATTTCGTGTTGGCAGTCAAAATCAAAGATATCTGTGTGCGTAAAGATACGTATGTACGAAGGCCTATGAATGTTCGTACAAAATATCTGTGTGTATGTGCGTGTACATATTCTGTTTGTTCTGTTTCTACAACTGCTTCCTGTGGACGAACATTGGAAGGGTCTGAGTCTGATGTGTGAGACTGTATGTTCGTGATTAATGGTATAGATATCATGTCACCCATTATAAGCTCAAACTAAACAAAAAAAAAGAATACATGACGTCCATTTTGAAACTCGTTAAGAACAGATAATTAATTGTAAAAAATGTATACAATGAAGTGACCGATTCGGGTGTGAAGTAATTGTTTAAATGAATTCTCAACCAGAATTCTGAGTATATCTTATTAATGTAATTGTTAAGTAATGATTATCAATATTATGATAGGCCTACATGAACTATTTGCCAGTGCCAAATCTTTCTATAATAATATTATCAATTAATCTACGTATTTATGAATAATGAAGAAAATATCTCCAGTAACTTCATTTCGTAGTTCTGGATTCGTGCACTCACAGTCTTTGTATTGAATTACTATGCTTTTTCACGTTTGGTTGAAAACAAAAGCCTACAGTGGATACTCAAACATCCCCTTTGAATGTGTCGTATCTTCCGCAATTGAAAATATAATTCCTAAAGGAAACCAAATATCCACTTATGTAAGTGTTTCTTCGAACCTGACCCATGTAGTGTAGGTTATTTAATTAAACAATACTATTTGTAAAAGCCACATGTATTTTTTATCTGATCGGGAAATAAATAATCCTACTTCCCACACCCCAGGTAGCGAAATAAATTTTATTTGATCAGTAAATAACGCCTTGAAAGTTCCGTCGTTGTTTACAGATATAGGTTGATAATTTGGCATTAATCAACTAGAAGGTTCCGCAAGTTTTAATTTAAATGTTATTCACACTTACAAAGATAAACAAAATATTTGTATATTTGTGATTTCTGTGCCACTTTCTTTTAAATCTGATATATTATAATACCTGTACTTAATATTGAATTAGAAGTGAAGTACGGGGGAAAAAATGTATAATTTTGAAGAGTGTTTTTATTTGAGTGTGCTCTAACCATTATTTTTAATTCATGAGTATTGGTTTTAATTTTGTTTACGAGATGTTTACTCTGATACGTATAAATATATTAAAAGCGCCGACTCATTAATATTAAGTTTGATATAACCTCCTCCATTAAAGAGGATATACCCCAATTTAGACCGCTCTGAACCAATTTCAAAAAGCACCAAATATAGGGGATTATATTATTATTAATTATTCATATTTACAGGTAGACTCTTAACATTCAAACAAGTCAACGTTACATTCGCTCTGTTCCGCTTATTTTATGAATGAACTTTCACTGCCTGGAACGTCATGACTGCCATCCTTTCGACTTTTTAGGGACAAATGGCATTTTCTGCTCAACTCACTATTGTGAAGTATTTTTAAGTACGTGATATTTTAATTGTTCTGTTCCAATTACATACGTTCGGTGTTACATAGAACGGAACTTCTTCTGGAAAAAACAGTAATTTCGTAAATTATATTCCGCTATAGTGAATGGGTTCTCTTCAACTTTTACGCTTAGAACTGTTAGTATAATATAGCCTAAGCCCTTGTTAACCGCGTTAGCCTCTCGCCTCTCTCTCTGTGAATGTAATTGATTTATCCAATTCTTCTGTGTAATATGTCGTGATGAAGTCTGTTAGCCTACCGCACAGCTTCCAATCTTGAATACCAGACCTTTTCGGCTGTCCACTACCACTTATTCGACATATTCGCGTTTATCCTCCGTGTCTGTAGACTGTCTCGTCTACCCACCTGAGGACGCGTCAAGAAATGACGTTAGCCGATGCCTACAGGTACATCATAGAGATCGAGGTTTGTTTGGCAGAATTCAGAGAGAGATGTGCAGTTTGACTAAACATGACTGCAATGGCTAATATATTAGCCGGGAGCCAGTAACAATTAGCCGTACAAGCGCACACCCGCGCATCTGTCAATATTTAAATGGCTTCGCTTTGGCGTGGACCTGTGGAACATCCACCCGTCACAGTTCCCACATCGGAGAAGTAAATCGATCGCGTGTGAGGAGGAAAATAAGATGTCGTATCGTTTCCTGGATCATTAGCTCTCCGTCCGACGGACAATTCTGAATGGTTCGTATAATCATCCGCAGAGAGAGTGTGTGTACAGGAAATGCGGGCTTTTAAAACTTTACTTCTAACTGTGTTCTAGCCCGTGATTTTCTTCATTCGGCCAAGGGAAACTGCCGAGTGAGGAAGTTCTGATTAAAATATTCTTATAGTTTAATTGAACGTTGGACGCCCGTCGTGTACGAGGATGAAGAGCGAACATTTTTGTAGGAAATGGTTGCTTATTAATAAAGTCTTATCGGTCCATCGTCCATAGTTGCTTATTAGTAATGAAGGAGCTTATAAGGGAACTATACGACGTACTAAGGTTACATAATTAGGGAATGACGAAGAATACCTACATGTAACAAAAGTAAGAATATATAAGTGGAACTGGGGAAGGGAAGGGTATTTTTCTAGTTATACGAACGAATTCTGTGTACCTGATAAGCGTCATTAGACATAGTTATATAAGACTGTGGTCCGCAAGAAATGGTGTCTAACACAGTCTTCTGTATAGTGAACCCAACGCAAATGAATCGGTGAACAAAAGAAAGATACTGTATAGATTGCTGATGACATATATTTCCTGTAAATGAAATTAATAATCACAAAGGAGGAATAAAGGAAACTTGTGAGGTTAATTTTAAAGTATCTTTCATATTTTACGCATTCCTACTGTCCGGATGTCTGCAAAATTTATTTTATTGGTGGCGATCTGTAAATCTGAGACAGACAAGACAGTGGCACTTGACATCGCCAATATGTTAACAAACAATAATGATAAAATGGGTAGCGCATGTACAAAGATTATGAAAATAAAAGACATTTGTCAGAAAATCTTATAAGTAGAACGCTGGCCTTGTAATCCTGGGGTCTCGGGTTCGATTCCCGGCGGTGCCCGAATTTATAACTTGTGTTGGGCAAGGCCGTGGTCTAGGCAACACGGAGTTTTCCTACGGGGGCTTCCCCGGTTTCTCCGTGGCATCCCAACAATTACTACATTCACACACAGAAGAAGGCAATGCCAAACCACTTCTGGATCATCTGCCAAAAGTTTGCTTACATTCCTCCTTCCTGTTTCCTCCCCTTATGTATTTGGTTAAATCACTCAATATGGCACACATTCGAAACCAAATGATTTTATATGAGAAAAATTGCGTAATATTTTAGTCTCAACATTTTACAACAAAAGAATAAATTCAAGGTTATTTTGATTTTCAGAGAATTCTACAATAAAAGGCAGTCGAACCTTGTAAAATGATGGTTACATTTTCAGGCTGTAGTAAAATATAGTGAAACCACGTAAAACCACGTAATTTCAGAGGTGTCCTGTCCGATTCCAGTTTAGGTACTTCTTGGTCTATTTTCGCTAGACTTAAAAACAACGAGTGACTTGTGTGTGAACCACGAACCACACCCCGCCCCCCAGTAAGGATAGCCGATCTCCGGGCCGAAATTTGAAGGAATAATACAATGCCTAGGGAACACTCAATTGGAAAATGTACGAAAGGCAATGGCTTCAGCATAACTCAAGCTTCTATGCCGGCGTTTGGCGTGGACAGACTGAGGAAAACTAAGAATATGGTCAGGATAACAAATTTCTGTACCGAAATTTGAACTCAGGACCTCGATTTTGCACACCAGTCAAAATTTCTATTGAGTGTGGGTATTTTATCTAAATTAGGATTATTTGATTATTTGTTTTGTGTTTCGTTATTTGAAACGGGTCTGATTGTTGGTTCACTGTGGACAGGAATACATAAGAATTTCTGAGTGCCGAGCCAAAGGACGAGGTCATCTGGTTAAGAAGTAGAGAATTCAAGATTGTGATGTAAGTAGAAACGAAATGTTAATGGTGGTGGCACTACTGGGGAAAATGGTAGTTTTATGGTGGTGGTGGTAGCGAGATATTTTCATGGCCCCCAAAAAATTATCTTGAATGTAACTGAAATAATATTATAAATACATTATAGTGATTTACGAAATATAAGGACATGAGTTCCAGGTAAATAATTTTGTATCGCTCCAGATCAGACCAGTGTTTCTATTGATAAATGCGCGCAATTTTTAAATTTATGACAAAATTGCGTATATAAGTCTGGCGACTTTCGTGTGTCTAAATTCGTGATATGAAATCAGAATGTTTTTGCCCTGCTGTCACTTTAAACTACTTCATCAATTTTCGCAGCTGAGGAAGTCGAATTAGTTTACTTTTAAGACAACACATGTCAAAAGCGTATATAGAACCCTTGTGACTATGTTATTACATTTATTTTGAAAGGTTTAATTGAATTTTACACAGTTATAAGACCCTTCAAAAATGTTTTATTACGATCGAATCAGGGAATGTAGCCCACATTAACCGAATTAACCGAATATAATAATGATGCCATTTTAGGATCGTCATACATCATTCGAAAGACGCTGTTGTAAAATATATAGTCATCATCTCAAATATTCTGTAATTATTTTGTCAAAGTTTATAATACAATTGGTATTTATTTTTTACTGCCCTTTATAATTTTATTAAATTTCCTCACGCGCAATTTAAATACAATTTTTTTACAAATTTAAAATTTGTTTCTTTCAGTTTTTTAAGTGGTGAAGGCAGAGGCCATGTCCTGAAATTCTTAAAAGCCATACCTATTTTCAGTATTCATTGTGCTCTGAAAATCTCGTTTATCTATGAACCGGTCCGACGTAACAGGTCTTCGTGATTTTGACTCACAAGACTGTTGGATTCCGTCATGCTTCCAAGCCAACTTCTAATATTTTATCGTGTTCTTCTTACGTGCTTAGTAATTATCATAAAGTGTCAACCCAGACGACGACATAAATGTGTCATTCGTATATAAGACTTCGTTTTTGAGTTGATATTGAACAGTCTGAGTGCAAACGTACTGGAGCGTAATGTCGTAAACACGTTCTGTGGACGCAGGAAAGTGACGTCTTCAACAGATGGATTGTTATCAAAGCAATTTTCCCCATAATTCTTCACCGTGTCATGCAGTACGTCAGAACTGTGGATAATATTTGAAATTGTGGTTACGTTCGTATAATACTTCTAACAAAAACATTTCGTGTTGGCAGTCAAAATCAAAGATATCTGTGTGCGTAAAGATACGTATGTACGAAGGCCTATGAATGTTCGTACAAAATATCTGTGTGTATGTGCGTGTACATATTCTGTTTGTTCTGTTTCTACAACTGCTTCCTGTGGACGAACATTGGAAGGGTCTGAGTCTGATGTGTGAGACTGTATGTTCGTGATTAATGGTATAGATATCATGTCACCCATTATAAGCTCAAACTAAACAAAAAAAAAAGAATACATGACGTCCATTTTGAAACTCGTTAAGAACAGATAATTAATTGTAAAAAATGTATACAATGAAGTGACCGATTCGGGTGTGAAGTAATTGTTTAAATGAATTCTCAACCAGAATTCTGAGTATATCTTATTAATGTAATTGTTAAGTAATGATTATCAATATTATGATAGGCCTACATGAACTATTTGCCAGTGCCAAATCTTTCTATAATAATATTATCAATTAATCTACGTATTTATGAATAATGAAGAAAATATCTCCAGTAACTTCATTTCGTAGTTCTGGATTCGTGCACTCACAGTCTTTGTATTGAATTACTATGCTTTTTCACGTTTGGTTGAAAACAAAAGCCTACAGTGGATACTCAAACATCCCCTTTGAATGTGTCGTATCTTCCGCAATTGAAAATATAATTCCTAAAGGAAACCAAATATCCACTTATGTAAGTGTTTCTTCGAACCTGACCCATGTAGTGTAGGTTATTTAATTAAACAATACTATTTGTAAAAGCCACATGTATTTTTTATCTGATCGGGAAATAAATAATCCTACTTCCCACACCCCAGGTAGCGAAATAAATTTTATTTGATCAGTAAATAACGCCTTGAAAGTTCCGTCGTTGTTTACAGATATAGGTTGATAATTTGGCATTAATCAACTAGAAGGTTCCGCAAGTTTTAATTTAAATGTTATTCACACTTACAAAGATAAACAAAATATTTGTATATTTGTGATTTCTGTGCCACTTTCTTTTAAATCTGATATATTATAATACTTGTACTTAATATTGAATTTGAAGTGAAGTACGGGGGGGGGAAAATGTATAATTTTGAAGAGCGTTTTTATTTGAGTGTGCTCTAACCATTATTTTTAATTCATGAGTATTGGTTTTAATTTTGTCGACGAGATGTTTACTCTGATACGTATAAATATATTAAAAGCGCCGACTCATTAATAATAAGTTTGATATAACCTCCTCCATTAAAGAGGATATACCCCAATTTAGACCGCTCTGAACCAATTTCAAAAAGCACCAAATATAGGGGATTATATTATTATTAATTATTCATATTTACAGGTAGACTCTTAACATTCAAACAAGTCAACGTTACATTCGCTCTGTTCCGCTTATTTTATGAATGAACTTTCACTGCCTGGAACGTCATGACTGCCATCCTTTCGACTTTTTAGGGACAAATGGCATTTTCTGCTCAACTCACTATTGTGAAGTATTTTTAAGTACGTGATATTTTAATTGTTCTGTTCCAATTACATACGTTCGGTGTTACATAGAACGGAACTTCTTCTGGAAAAAACAGTAATTTCGTAAATTATATTACGTTATAGTGAATGGGTTCTCTTTAACTTTTACGCTTAGAACTGTTAGTATAATATAGCCTAAGCCCTTGTTAACCGCGTTAGCCTCTCGCCTCTCTCTCTGTGAATGTAATTGATTTATCCAATTCTTCTGTGTAATATGTCGTGATGAAGTCTGTTAGCCTACCGCACAGCTTCCAATCTTGAATACCAGACCTTTTCGGCTGTCCACTACCACTTATTCGACATATTCGCGTTTATCCTCCGTGTCTGTAGACTGTCTCGTCTACCCACCTGAGGACGCGTCAAGAAATGACGTTAGCCGATGCCTACAGGTACATCATAGAGATCGAGGTTTGTTTGGCAGAATTCAGAGAGAGATGTGCAGTTTGACTAAACATGACTGCAATGGCTAATATATTAGCCGGGAGCCAGTAACAATTAGCCGTACAAGCGCACACCCGCGCATCTGTCAATATTTAAATGGCTTCGCTTTGGCGTGGACCTGTGGAACATCCACCCGTCACAGTTCCCACATCGGAGAAGTAAATCGATCGCGTGTGAGGAGGAAAATAAGATGTCGTATCGTTTCCTGGATCATTAGCTCTCCGTCCGACGGACAATTCTGAATGGTTCGTATAATCATCCGCAGAGAGAGTGTGTGTACAGGAAATGCGGGCTTTTAAAACTTTACTTCTAACTGTGTTCTAGCCCGTGATTTTCTTCATTCGGCCAAGGGAAACTGCCGAGTGAGGAAGTTCTGATTAAAATATTCTTATAGTTTAATTGAACGTTGGACGCCCGTCGTGTACGAGGATGAAGAGCGAACATTTTTGTAGGAAATGGTTGCTTATTAATAAAGTCTTATCGGTCCATCGTCCATAGTTGCTTATTAGTAATGAAGGAGCTTATAAGGGAACTATACGACGTACTAAGGTTACATAATTAGGGAATGACGAAGAATACCTACATGTAACAAAAGTAAGAATATATAAGTGGAACTGGGGAAGGGAAGGGTATTTTTCTAGTTATACGAACGAATTCTGTGTACCTGATAAGCGTCATTAGACATAGTTATATAAGACTGTGGTCCGCAAGAAATGGTGTCTAACACAGTCTTCTGTATAGTGAACCCAACGCAAATGAATCGGTGAACAAAAGAAAGATACTGTATAGATTGCTGATGACATATATTTCCTGTAAATGAAATTAATAATCACAAAGGAGGAATAAAGGAAACTTGTGAGGTTAATTTTAAAGTATCTTTCATATTTTACGCATTCCTACTGTCCGGATGTCTGCAAAATTTATTTTATTGGTGGCGATCTGTAAATCTGAGACAGACAAGACAGTGGCACTTGACATCGCCAATATGTTAACAAACAATAATGATAAAATGGGTAGCGCATGTACAAAGATTATGAAAATAAAAGACATTTGTCAGAAAATCTTATAAGTAGAACGCTGGCCTTGTAATCCTGGGGTCTCGGGTTCGATTCCCGGCGGTGCCCGAATTTATAACTTGTGTTGGGCAAGGCCGTGGTCTAGGCAACACGGAGTTTTCCTCCATGGCATCCCAACAATTACTCCATTCACACACACAGAAGAAGGCAATGGCAAAACACTTCTGGATCATCTGCCAAGAACATATATGAACAGGTCCCAGTCCGAGAAAAAGATGGAAGGATCCTGTTCATATGGACCTGACCTGTCGTCATTATTCAGACATTGTTTTGAGGTAATATGGCAAGGCCGTGGTCTAGGCAACACTGAGTTTTCTCCGTGGCATCCCAACAATTACTCCATTCACACACAGAAGAAGGCAATGGCAAACCACTTCTGGATCATCTGCCAAGAACGTATATGAACAGGTCCCAGTCCGAGAAGAGGATGGAAGGATCCTGTTCATATGGACCAGTCGTCAGACAGAACACTAAATAAATAATAATTGTTGAAAAGTGTCTTAAATATAAGATTTTAAAACGTAAATTCGGTTCAATGGGAATATAATAAATTATAGTACCCGATATTTTTAATTTCGTTTGTGAACCTAAGTGTTCCATAAGTTATGCATTTATTTTATTTGTGGTGTATTTGTCAATAGCTCATATTATAGAGGCTTTAGTAATAAGATGATTATTGAATGAATAGATAAGGATGGGGAAGGAAGCGGTGTTTGCCTAACTTGAGAGCCTTCCCCTACTTTTTTCATGGAGGGACGGGAAAACCTCAAGATAGCCGTTCTTCGGCCCGAGGTTCGAACGCGGTACCTCCCGAGTAACGAGTACGTTATTCATCAGGTACGAACAGCTGAAGAAAGACTGAATGCGCGGAATGTGGTGCATTCTAATTGTTTAACAGAGAACGGTAAATCATTAAAATTAAACGGTGCGATAAAGCAGGGTTTATATTCCTCTGCAGAGTTCGTCATTTTCTTCTTCAGTAAAGTTCGTTTGACCTCTACTTTTATGGCTGAAATCGGACGTTTCGTTACACATTCTGTGGTATCCAATGTACTTTGGCCCACCTCTTCCTACGCGAGTACTGAGATTTGGCTATCGTTGTTGCAAAAATAAGGTCAATATGAAACCCCTCTCTTGATTCTAGCACTGAAGGAGCTTCACCTTATAAACCGCTAGTGGACGGAGAATAGGACAACGTTAGTACTGTAATCGCTTCTTTCATGAAACAAATAAAAATGCTAATACGTAAAGAGAAATGAGCAATTCATTCGTATAAATATTTTGTAAACAATTTGCTGAAACGTTTTATGACAAAAGCGTATAAATTTTCCCACGTTTTCCGAAATAAATAATAAATTAGTATTTACTGTTGGGTACTTTATGTCAAATTTATCTTCGCCATCGTATGTTGGAGTAAATGCAGATCACCACTGCTCAAATTTCTGTTTATTAAATATGTGTTGCAGGATGAACATAGATGTATCTTATTCTTGCTTTGTTTGTCGCAATCTGTAGCATACTAAGCTAAATGGAACATTGAATAAGAAAAGAACTTTATTTCAACAAAAAAGAACAATTTTAAAAATTTCAAAATATATTGAAAACACTAAATTAAAAGAGAATGTCGCTGCATATACCATTGGAAATTCCCACAAATCCTTCCTTCGAGGCAGATTTCCTTTTGCAGGTAGCTTCAGTAAAATTTAATTACGAACCTGCTGAGAAAGTATATGAGCTTTTACTACTCAAATATTTTCTTATGAGAATGCTGCCGTGTAGCTGCACGGGTATGCTTTAATGTGTTGTAATTTTCATGGTTTTACAGTATTGTAACATAATCCCGGAACGAATTAACGATCCATGGTGTTCTGTAATTTCTCCAAACGAAACATCAAATTAAAACCACCTCCTACATAGTTTCCACGTGTTCGGTGGCAGCATTCACCCCAACTTTCTACATCTTTTTTCTGATTCATAAGGCTAGGTAACGATTTTGTTGAATTTAAGAAATTATAAAACTTCCACGCAATGAAAATATGTTGTTGTTGGTGGTGTTTTTTGTTTGTTTGTTTGTTGTTGTTTTTTTTTTGTTTTTTTACGTCGGGTCACTTTACCTGTATAAAATGAAAGCAGGAACTACATTGTCTGTACTTTTCTCCTTACTTCTATGCACACGAATGGTAATTTATAATGACTGTTTGTTGTCGTTTAACATCTTATTTTATATATAAGTATACTAGTAAGTAGTAAACCAATTATCTCCGTGCTCCGACGCTGGTAGGCAGGTAAGATTGGCAGACATTGGGCACAGGTTCATCCAACTTAATGTTAGCAATAACCAGCGCGGTCAATCACCCCTGTGCCCTCCAAATCATGACCAGAACTCCTTAAGGTGGATACTGCCTACTATAAAGCTGCCATGTGTTAGACAAGACACACTCACGCCCTATAAATGCTATTAGCCGTAAACCCAAGTAGCTGTCTACCAATGGCTTGTTCCATGCTGCGTGGTAAGTCTACAAAAAAAAAAAGAATCTATAAACTGTAAAGGTAAGATCATCTTAAGGAAAAAGCAATTTCCACAAGCCGTGTGTCAGGAATTTACACTAGAGTTTTCACGTACAGTTTATGAGACGTTTGTTACTATCTTGGTTTACCATCCTTAATCGGTAACTGTTAATAATATTGACGACTTGTGTAATAAATACGTCTGTTTAGTAAAATGGTCTACAGGAGGATTTTCTGCTGTAGACCTTATTTTTATGTCATCTTAAAGAGATATCGT